CGATAACAACAAAAAAGTGAAAGTGCTGCATCTTGATCCATCATGCAGATTTCCCAAAAAGTTTGATCAATGAATCATTGAGGACCTTCAGAATATTACCTGAAGCCCCAACTGCTTACAGTTGCCAGCATTCAAATTGCACAGAGCTATGAACTGTGGGTGGCACTGTGGGTTAAACCACAGGGCTTGCTGATCAGAAGGTTGGCAGTTCGAATCCCCGCGATGGGGTGAGCTCCTGTTGCTCGGTCCCTGCTCCTGCCAACCTAGCAGTTCGAAAACACATCAAAGTGCAAGTAGCTAAATAGGTACCGCTCTGGCGGGAAGGTAAACGGCGCTTCCGTGTGCTGCTTTGGTTCGCCAGAAGCGGCTTAGTCATGCTGGACACATGACCCGGAAGCTGTATGCCGGCTCTCTCAGCCAGTAAAGCAAGAGGAGCGCCGCAACCCCAGAGTCGGCCACGACTGGACCTAATGGTCAGGGGTCCCTTTACCTTTTTTTATGAACTGAGAAGGGCAATGGATTTCTGGTTTTGTTTTTGTGTAATGGGGGGCGGAATCTATCCATTGGTTCTAGTCTAGTACTGCCTATGAGACAATGGCTCTCAAACAACTCCGCTGCTTGAGGTAACTGAAGGGATTCACCCAAACTGCCCCACCAGCAGAAGTCCTATAGATGAACTTCTCCTTGCCCAACAGGGCCTTCCTCCCTCCTTCCATGCCCGTCCTGGAAATTGGCAGGACTGTGTGTGTGTCAAGAAAACTCCCAGAACAGTGTGTAGGGTAGGGGAAGGGGGTACCATTCTATCTAGCAAGCTGAAATGCGCAGATGCAATGATTGGAAGATCAGATTCCACTCAGCCTAAGACTTGAGCAAAATTGCATCATTCCGAAATGTATTCAAATTCATTCACAAGGGAGGTGAATAGATTTGTAATTGCAGCACCATATCAGTAATTTATCTATTCCTGTTTCTTCAGGAGTGTCCATACAACATAAAGGAAGGAGGGCGGTTGACATTTGGATGTCTACCGTACTTTGATGAATTGCAGAAACGTGCCTGGCTGAGATGGAGCAATTCAGATATGACATGTTCCTCGCTGATTGATTAAGGGTGTTGCTGCATCTTTTATAAATTAATCGGTTGCCACATGCTACATAGCAGCACTGCGTCACATTTCCAGAATTTAAAAGGTTCCCTTTGGAACGAGCAAACCACATTTCAAGAATGGGATTGAATTTCCTTAATAGAGAGATACTGATTTAACTACGCTTGTTGTGATGTTTAAATGGGCAATTAACCGGCTTCGAAGTAACACAGTAGTTACCCGAAGGCAGCAGCCTTTATGGGCTGCAGATCCATTTCCGGCCCTGTCAATCTAGGATTGTCCACCAAAGCTGAGGGTGTCTGTGTGGAGGAGCCATGTTGCAGAGGAATGCTGCAAGACCATCTTCCTGCAAAGCTGGATGTTTGGCAACCAAATGGTTTGGCATGTTATTTCTTAAAGGGGCCCAGTCTCTGCACAGAGCCTAAATTTTATTGATGTTCAGCTCCAGCTCTGTGTCCCTTCCGGCTGCACTCATTCCGTTGCAGGAGGGGGCTGTAGATTTCAAGGAGGAAGTCAGAAAATGCAGAAGTTTTTTCCTGCCCCAAACTGCAGGAGGGTTTTATGAATAACCACTACCCCTGGTGGAGGAGACCCACTGGCTTTCCCGTCGCAGGACACTGACACCGCAGGGCAATCGCTGTCAAGCACATCTGGATGGTGACTGCCCAACTCCGACAGCATTTTAGGCATCTGATTTCCATACATGTCTGAAATTTTCCGGACATATGGCAAGCCTACTCCATTACAGATTTGTGTTTGCATAACACCAGTACTGAGAGAGAAAGTACCATGTGTCTGGCGTTTCCCCTTAGATAGCAGCAGGTACTCGTGTTGATATATTCCACAGATACCTTCATTGTACAGTTTTTGATGCCTACTTCAGGCAAACCTGCCCAGACATGTGATTTTATTATGTACCTTCTTCTGTTTTTTCCTGTTGATTTTCGTCCATATGCTTACTGTTTTAAAGGTGGTTTTCATTGCTATTTTTAAAATGAATTTACCATTTTGTGTAAACCGCTTAGAGATTTATTTATTTTTGATTAAAAGGTTCCCTAAGCTAAGGGTTAGGATACATAAGTGGGACTGCAACAAAATGCCGCAGCGTGAAACACGGGCCTTGTTCCAGGATGCTGGTAACCCTAACCTTGTTTTTCTCCCCACCCGCAAAAATCAGGCAGTGTTTTGTACCCACTGAGCCTATTTGGTCTTCGTTGGGATGTTTGGGGAGGAAGTTCCCTTTATGGCTCTTAATTTTGGGTCGTTCTGCAAACCTTGGGGTTTCCCTAAGCCTGCTGATGCCTTCCTCTTGTGTGCAAAGTCCGCTTACCCCCTTTTAGGGGGCGTGGCAGCTTTGCGGGACGGCCAGCGCCTCTCCTCCTGCCGACGATGCAGGGCTGGGTGTCAGGGTCTGATCCTTGCTGGAGCGCGAGCTTCAGCTTGAAATCCTGCTCTGCGTCAGCCTGCCGAATTGGCCAATGGCAGGCTGGTGCAGAGAGCTGGGCTTGAGGGAACAATCAGGCTTCCCTCAGGTCAGCCCGGATATAAATGCTTACCCAATGCCTACGCCAAACCACTTCATCTGTAGCCAATAAAGTTGTGGCCTGATTTGACCCCATTCCACTGTGTTGGTCTCCTTTATTGGTAGCGCACCTGAGCCTGGCCCTGCAACAGTACTGCTTTGAGTACATAAGGACCCATGCTTGGATAACGACTTTGCTATTAGCATACAGAGTAAGGTTGATAGGAGCACCAGGGCTGTGTCTTGGCTGCCACAGATTCAGTTCAACAGGAAGTGTTCTTAGGTGCACACAGACTTCGAAAACCACATGTGCAGTTCTTGGGTCAGCACACGATGTTGGGGGGCTTGGACTGGTTCAAGCTCTTGGTAACCCTGGAGACTGAAGTGAGAAGCTGTAGGCTTTTGCCCCTCAGAGACGTGTAACCCAGACTGCAGCTCAGTTCACTCAAGGCCACACAATTCAATGGGTGTCACTGAGAACCAAGCCTGCGCCTATCTTGGATTCCATTTGCTGGTCATGGAAGAGTCGGATGACAAATTTGGAATCGGAATGCTATTATGACTCGTAAAATGCACAACACGATGACAGGAGCTGATGCAGCGCAGGGCCTAAGATCAGAGAGCCCCAGGCTTGATTCTCACCTCAGCCCTGGCCTTAAGCAAGCTACTTTCTATCAGCCTCAGCACCTGCCCACCCACTGACATCTGTAAAATGGGGGATAATTATACTGACTGACAGGGTTGTTGCAAGGATTGCAATAATACAGGGCATGTGAACTTCTTTGATCATTTAAAAACACTACACAGTGGTTAAGTAATGCCCTCATTATTATTAATAGTATCTGTGTGAGAGAGTACGTGCGTAGAGGGCTTTCATTTGAGGCTGGAGTTGGGGTGTGTGCCTCTCAAAAGGGCAGAGTTCAAAGGAATGAATGGCACCAGCTTAACTTGTATTAAGTTGAATCCCATCGCCTCACTTTGTCACTGCTAAATATAATGCCTGCCACCCTGCATTCTATGAAGTGCACTTCCTTCCGTTGAAGTAAATGGTCTTGAACTCATATTATTGGATTGATGTCGTGACTTGTACTAATAACACCGTCTTGCCCTTCAGAGTTAGTGGGATGCGGGTGGTGCTGAACCACAGAGCTCAGGGCTTGCTGATCAGAAGGTCGGCCATGACTGGGTGAGCTCCCATTGCTCAGTCCCTGCTCCTGCCAACCTAGCAGTTCAAAAGCACACCAGTGTGAGTAAATAGGTACTGCGGCGGCGGGAAAGTAAACGGCATTTCTGCGCGCTCTGGTTTCCATCATGGTGTTCTGTTGTGCTAGAAGCAATTTAGTCCTCCTGGCCACGTGACCCAGAAAGCTAGCTGTGGACAAATGCCGGCTCCCTCAGCCTTTCACTGGACTTAACTGTCCAGATGACCTTTACCTTTTATCTCTCTAGACCATGGCTGGAACTTCAGTACAGGCCCAGATGTCCCACTGCATCCCTCTAAATGTGCACTACAACTCCCATAATCCCTAACAATTGACCATGCTGGCTGTGGCTGAAGGGAGTTGCAGTCCACAACATCTAGAAGTGTCCCAGCATGGCAGCTTTTCCCTGGGTACTCCATGTCTCCTCTCATTTGTCCCTCCCTACTTTTTGGGACATGGGTGGCACTGTGGGTTAAACCACAGAGTCTAGGGCTTGCCAATCAGAAGGTCAGCGGTTTGAATCCCCATGACAGGGTGAGCTCCCATTGCTCAGTCCCTGCTCCTGCCAACCCAGCAGTTCGAAAGCACGTCAAAGTGCAAGTAGATAAATAGGTACCGCTCCAGCGGGAAGGTAAACGGCGTTTCCGTGCACTGCTCTGGTTTGCCAGAAGCGGCTTAGTCATGCTGGCCACATGACCCGGAAGCTGTATGCTGGCTCCCTCGGCCAATAAAGCGAGATGAGCGCCGCAACCCCAGAGTCGGTCACGGCTGGGCCTAATGGTCAGGGGTCCCTTTACCTTTACTACTTTTTGACTGAGGATCCCTCAAACCTTTGAGCTGACCTTAAATGCTTGCAGCTCAGATCAATTGGGCACTACCCTGTGGTATCTTTTACGTTTTTAGAACCAATTGAGTGCATCAGCTCAACCTCCATTGGTTGTTGTTTTCACCTTTACAACACACGTAATGAAATACACGGGTCCAAAGTAAGGTATAATAATATAAGTTTTTATATTTTGACACCAACAAGGTTTCATGTTTTGTTCAATAAACAGATTCAAACTGTTTTGTTGTTGCTCTTTATTCACCCATAATAGAGATACATATCGAAACCTTACAACCCATGAAGGCATAATACTTAAAGAAACAGGAAATCTACAACTCCCTCAAGTGTTAGCAAGCAGCTTTCTGCATGGAAGACAGGATGGGACAAAGAATAAAAAAATGCTGAAGTCCAAATTACTTAGTCAACTTTTGGCTAACATAAAGGTAAGTAACACCAGGTGATGTGAAGAAATCCATCTCTAGGTATAGTATTCCCAAGGCAGGACAAGCGTAGAGTCCCACTATACTTTTTTGCGGGTGGGAGCCAAGGCTGTTTTCAAACTTTTTCCACCACTATGTCAAATTTCCCCGCACATCGGAAATGTCCAGGGCTGCAAAGCAACCATCAAGTTTTTCATAAAGCTTGACTCGTAGCAAAATCAGGAGAAACTTGCCTCCTTGAAGGACCACAACAATGGCTGCTGAGGTAGTAACATCAAGGCAGCGCTAGATTTAGGCTGGTGCATCCGGTCCCATCCCCCCCAACAGGGTGCCAAGCCAAGAGGGCACAAAATAATAATAATAATAATAATAATAATAATAATAATAATAATAATAATAAATGTTTTAAAACCAATTCTTATAAGGGCAAATACATGGGTAAACTGAACCAGAAGGAATTATTGTGAAATAATAAATATGGGGGGGGGGAGCAAATTTGGTCCTCTCTTTGGGTACCACATTGCCAAAGTCTGCCGCTGATCAGGGTAAGCGTTCTTTGACCACTCCTTTCCCCATGCATGCAATCTGCTTGCTCAGAAATCAAAGCACTATTAGGAGAAGAAACCCGAAGACTGAGGATTATTAAAGATCTACATAACTCTATAAAGGTAGCTCAAGCATGTCTTAGGATTATATAAATAGATATAGTTATTTTCCTACTCACACATGTCCCAGGCTTTGTGTATCAGAGGAGCAAAATACAGCAGTAGGGGACACAACATGTTACATGACTGCATCAATTAGTCAACGCTGACATTGATACTTCTATGGCCAAACAAAGCGATATATGTCGGATGCAGTGTTTTTGCTTTATTTGCCGCGTTTATGGGCTAAATTTATATGGCAAATGCAAACTTTGCTAAGTTGGGGGAAAGAGGTCCAAATCTTCTGTTAGTGCCACTTAGTGTCATGTGGCACCATTGGAAGTCAAGGGGTCTGGTATGTAAGCTTGCACTTGTCTTGTTAATATAAAGAAAAAAAGAATATCTTAATAGTTACTGCTTTGAAGTATCTACCGGCAGCCTTTCCACCTGTGAAATAAGCCCAGATTGTCTAATTCATATGGGAGGCCTGAAAATTCCTTGAACTCTAGGGGGCTGCTTTGAAAATTTTTGTTTTGATTTGATTTGATTTTCAAAAGAAGCAAAAAAGAAAATCATGGTGGTGTCAGCATTCAATTTCCTTTAGGCCACCTTGAAAATGTCGATCGCGTGTACACACACAAAGCTATGGAAAGTGTGGAGTAAATTAAGCAAGCTGATAGGAGATCAATTTTGCCGAATGTGATGATCTAGGAAGCCGCCGGCTGCTTAGTTCATCCCAATGCAGGACTTAAATCCAACGGAGTAACGAGGTTTACATGCGACGGGGCGTTGCTGGTATGTCCCTGGGCAGTCCTTCTTCCTGCGCAGCGTAGATGCACAAGCTCCAAAGGGTGTATCCTGAGGTGTCAAGATCTGTACATGGAAGACACTTGTGTTAATGGGTTTGCCTCCAGCAGGGGTACCTACTACTCGCTTGAGAGTCTATACACCACATGTTCATAGGAGTTTTCAGCAAAGAAATTGCTTCTACTAATAACAACCATTAGTGGTTGGTGGGGTGGTGTCAGGGACTGGACTGAAGAGGAGCAGGAGTGGTGAAGATCACCTCCCCTTCTCCTGTAGCTTCCAGAGAAGGGGGATACAGTATTGAATTACAGCCGAACTTGGAAGGAGATAGCAGATCAGAGACAGGCGAACAGATGAGTTATGAGGTGTTTGAAGAGGAACAAGGGGAAGCAGAGCAGCCAGCTGAAACGTCTCTGGACAGCATCGATGAACCACCACCACCCCTAAAATTCAACATTCGTTAAGAGTGCAAGAGCAATGGGAAGAAGAAGAGTTTGGATTTGATATCCTGCTTTATCACTACCCGAAGGAGTCTCAAAGCAGCTAACAATCTCCTTTCCCTTCCTCCCCCACAACAAACACTCTGTGAGGTGAGTGAGGCTGAGAGACTTCAGAGAAGTGTGACTAGCCCAAGGTCACCCAGCAGCTGCATATGGAGGAGTGGAAACACGAACCCGGTTCCCCAGATTACAAATCTACCGCTCTTAACCACTACACCACACTGGCTCTCAACGCAGGGACACAGAGGCATTTGTTCACGGGGGACCACCGTAGAGTCGGATGCTGTTGCCAGGAGAGGGGAGGGGGAGGAGCCCAGAGTGAGCAACTCCATCCTTGAGGGATGTCTGGATTCTTTGTCTCTCACCGTGAGGACTAAATAAAAGCATAAGCAAAACCTTTCATGTTTCCTCCCTGCTCCTTGAAGTTTTCAAGGGAGGGAGAGAATTCCTCAAGCCTGACAGGTGGAGGCGCTCACCTGACCAGCTACTGGTGTTGCTTTTGCTGACTAGGAGGAAGAGGGGGTGGGGGTGGGGAGCTTGGTGTGGTGCAAACACAAGCAGGACCACTGCTGGAGGTACGTTTGTACACCACCTTGCCCCTTCCTCTCCCAGTAAGTCACAGCTATCATGCCATAGCTCAGGGGTAGAGCATCTGCCTTATGTACAGAGGGTCCCAGGTTCAATTCTCAGCATCTCCAGGTGGGATGGGGAATGTTCCCCTTCTGAAAACCCAGGAGAGCAGCTGCCAATCACTGAGGACAATACTGAGCTCGTTGGACCAATGATCTGACTTCTTATAAGGCAGCTTCCTAAGTTTCTAAGAATCCTCCGTTGGAGATCCCCAAGCCCAGCCTTTCCTCTCTTTGTGGAGAGGGAATGTCTTTGTAAATGGCTTCAATCTCCAGGGCGGATATGCTCGAAGACTCTGTTAAATTATCCTTCCTTGCCCCACCTCACTCCCATACAGCTCCACAGCAATTTATCCTGAAAAGAAGAAAAACACATTTCCTCACCTCCTTGTCGTTGCACAGTCCCAATTTTTCTAGATCCGCCACAGAATAGTGGATGTTGGACATGATCACTTCCACTTCCTCAATCTGAAAGCATAAAAACATACGCATATTAGACCACAGGATGACCCTGTGCACTACAACTGCACTCACTCAAGTCTCCTTCCCCTGTTCTTGGCAGTGAGAGCAGAGGTCCGAGGTAACAGGAGCCAGGTATGTCATGGCCAGCCTGTGAGAGGGGCTGAAGTCATTGGTAGGCAGACTCAGATCTTTCTTCCCGACACACCCTTCTCTCTCCTCCTGTCTCACTCACCCTTTTCCTCCCTGCCCAGCAGGCTGCAAGAGGAACAAATTGCTTTTGCCGGAAATCTGAACAGATTGATTACACAAAAGGGATTTGAATTGAGGTTGTGGGCCACAGGCATTCATAGTGTTGTAAACAATGCATAACAGCTACGTCTCCCTGTCTAAACTATGCATCTGCATGGGACACGGGTGGCACTGTGGTCTAAACCACTGAGCCTCTTTGACTTGCCGATCAGAAGTTCGGCAGTTCGAATCCCCGTGACAGGATGAGCTCCCATTGCTCTGTCCCAGCTCCTACCAACCTAGCAGTTTGAAAGCACGCCAGTGCAAGTAGATAAATAGGTACCGCTGTGGCGGGAAGGTAAACGGCGTTTCTGTGCGCTCTGGTTTCCATCACGGTGTTCCATTGCACCAGAAGTGGTTTAGTCATGCTGGCCACATGACCCAGAAAGCTGTCTGTGGACAAACGCCGGCTCTCTCGGCCTGAAAGCGAGATGAGTGCCGCAACCCCATAGTCGCCTGTGACTGGACTTAACTGCCCGGGGTCCTTTACCTTTTAGCTTTACTATGCATCATGGCCCTTGGCTACAAGAGCAGAGCAAGGCACTGCATGGTCATGTCACATCACGTGTTGGGTTTACAAGTACCAAAAAAAGGTACTGTTTTCACACGGAGAACCATACATTTGTTTCGTCATTCCCTAACAGCGGGAATATGGAGAGGGGTTATTGCTGAGTGGTAGAAAGCCCTGTGCATTCCATATAGAACAGACACACACACACACGAGTTTACATCCAGGGCATCTCCAGTCATACCGGATCTGAAGTAGCAGGGCTAGAAAACACATCTCCCTGAAGCCAGAATTTCCAGATTCCATCCTTAGCAACTGCAGGTAAAGCCAGGAGAGAACGCTGTCTGAAATCTAGACAGCCACCCTGCCAGTCCTTGTAGACAATACTGGCTTGGTGTAAAGCAGATTCCTATGCTTTTAATTTCTTTATCTACCCACCTTCTATTTATAATAGCCCGAGAGAAAGCAAAATCTAAGCTTACACGATGATCCGTACATTGCCCCTCAAGTGTGAGTCACGGGCGTCCGAAATGGATTGGATTTGTGCTTTTGATGTAAACCTCGGTTTTGTAAGACTACGGTTATTTGAAGCATATCGCATGTCATGAGGACAAAGAGATACGACGAGACTGACCTGGGGGAGTCTATCCAAGATGTAGGTCTGGATGCAGTTGACCGTCTTCTGGTAAGATGGCGAGTAGTGGCCTGTTTCAGGCGGCCCGGCAAAGGCATCGAGGGCACACTCGTGGGCAGTTCTCCTTCAAAGCAACGTGTAGCCATTAGAATCAAATCTGTACTCTCTCCATAATTCAGCTCATGTGTGAACTTGCAAGGCTAACGTCCTGTGTTCAGCTTGCTTAGCTCTGTCCCTTGTTAGGGGTCAGGTCATGAATTTTAACAGTGCAGTCAGGAAAAGGAGAGAGAGAGAGAGAGAGAGAGAGAGAGAGAGAGAGAGAGAGAGAGAGTTCCAATGTGGGGTGTGTGTCTAGGAATGAAGGGCTTGCCATGTGGTCGCATTAAGCCTGGCACAGGTGGTACCCAGAGAATGGTCTGGAACTGTGTGATGCTGCGACACTGCTAAAGAGACACATGGGTGCATCTGATCAATTCCTTGGATCAGTGGATTAAGAGTGAGACAGAAGCAAAATAAATATCCCCCCCCAATAAATAATAATAATACCCCATCCATCTGGCTGCGCTTCCCCAGTGACTGTAGGCGGCTTCCAGCATATACAGAAACATAATAAAACTTTGAACATTAAAAACTTCCCTAAACTTCTTATAAAGGTTATCTCCTTCACATCTGGTGGGAGGGCATCACTACTGATAAGGCCCTCTACCTGGTTCCCTGTAACTTCACTTCTCACTGTGAGGAAACAGGAGCTTGTTTCCACTGTAAATTGACAATGCACACGCCCTTCCCCAATTCGGATATTTCTCATCGAAATATTTCCTTTTTTTCATCCATCACAGGGCTGTAATCATACTCAATATCAGCCATCTCTTCTACTGTGGACATGCGCCGTTAGACAAAAATGGGGTTGGTTTGTTTTGTTTTTTACAGTACCATATGCAGTCGTAGTCAAGACAGTCTGCGCCTTCTCCATAACACCACTTGATGAGTGTTTCTATTGACAGCACTCGATCTCTTCTTTCTGGAAGTGTGGTGTATTTATCCTTGAAGAAGCCTTGAAATCCAGACTGGGTTGTTTTCATAAGCTTCAGATCCTTAATGCCAGAAAAAACAATCGGACTACCTGCAAGAGAGAGAGAGAGAGAGAGAGAGAGAGAGAATGGAAGAGAGAAAAAGTCAGTTCTTTTTACAATGAAATAATTTAAAATGAGAAAATTGATATATGCGGATAAATTAAAAGGCACTTTTTAACAGGGCAATCGAGTGGGGATTCAGTATGAATACTGTATTTCTCTTGCCTTCTGGGGCAAGGTAAACAGAAACACAAGAAATCCCACCTCTCTTTCTAACACCCACAAACACTTCAATGGCCTTGACTGCTCCTACTTCTCTTCAACAGAGAATAATAAAAGGTGTTACGTTTCTGAGGATTTCTGTCAAAAGAATGAAATTTTGTGTCTTACCTTCCAGAGTCCGTTCCACTTCACAAAACCGAACCCCTTCTGAGCTATAGAGAAAAGCATGGACGTGGGGGACACCATCCTAGAGATTGAAGAATATGGAAAATGTGCAAATAAATGTAGCCGATTTTAAAACAAATGGGGAAGTAATAGAGCTGGTTTGGGGGGGGCAAAGTCTTACAAATGTTAGGGTGATTCAGTGCCCTATGAACCCCGCCCACATTTGGTCCCTCCTCCCTCCCTCCCTCCTTCTGACAACCCCACTTTTCACTTGTTCCCCCCTGTGTGCAGGGAGCAACCTAGTCAGGTGGGTGGGGTGTATAAGCTCAGTATACCTTTTCTAGGCGTTGCCATGGTACTTCTTGGATGAAGGCATTGCAGTATATCACATGGCAAAACGATGTAAGGAAGTGTTCACAGATGTCAAGGCCAAACTCCTCTATTGTTCTGATCTAGTAAGACAAACAGGGTCGTCAGACACCATCAGTTTCTGCCCTTAGATAAATATCGAGACACGACACTGCATTTTATTTTATTTTATTGCAATATGTTCATGTCATTGCAAACCTCTTAATTAAATGAGTGAAGCAGTCAAGCAGGCATTATGAAATGTATAGTTTATAAAATAAATGTCTTTATTGAGCCAATTGCCCGTAATACTCTGGAATAAGGAGACCTGTGATTCTTCCAACTGCTAGCAAAAATTAAAGACAAAACAAATCCCTGGGTTAGCTCATGACATTCAGCAGAAGATTCCTGCATTGATGACCTTCGTGTTCCCTTACATCTCCACAATTCTGGGAGTCTATGATTCTATGAAATAGATCTCTTCTGGCTTGTGCAAGATGCTTCCACTCAGTGGAAGCTTAGTGGAATCTGCTGGACTACAGTTCCCATCATCCCTGACCATGGACCATGCTGGCTGGGGCTGATGGGATTTGGAGCCAACAAATCTGGAGGACCACAGCTTCGCTATCCCTGCTGTACATGAGTAATAGCTGTGCCAAGCTTCATTGACTGAAAGGCTTGTAAGACTGCACACTTACCACAATAAAACTAGCAATCTTGTGTTTCCTCTTTGGAGAAAGCTTTTCTTAAGAATTTTCTGGTTCTTTTCCTTTGGAAAGGTGTCTACATTTACCTATGCATCCAGTCGTTGCTGGCTGACACTCCTAGCTCTCTGTAAGAGTTATAATACCAAAAAGGAAAGGAAAGAGAAAGAGATTTGGCCACAGATGGGTCGTATCACATGATACGATCCATCTGTGGCCAAATCTCTCTCTCTCTCTGTTCCTTGCTCTTTGAATTGTCACGGACTCTCATTATTATTTTTGCCCGAGGACTGATTTTGCAATAGGAATGCAATTCATAAAAAATGCAATTCATTAAGACAATATCTAGCTACACAAAGATTAAATAAAAAATGGTTGCAAGAGTGCTTTGCAAAACATACCCCTCGGCATTTGGCCAAAGCTTGGATTGTATTCTTTATGGTGTCTGTGGGGATCACTTGACTGTTGTCAGAATTCAAGAATTCATTGACGGTGTTCAGCCTTATATGCACAGAGACTTCCAGTTCTTTGATGCAGTGAGTCGTGCCCTCTCGTCTAATGTACAGCAGTCTCACAGCGTTCTTCCCATATTCAGAATTCACATATTCCACATCCTTATTCTGTAACGGGAGGAGAAAAGCAATTTTGCACAGAATAAGTCATGGCTTGAAGTCTGAGGATGTGCTGGTTGGTACAAATGCTTTCGTGTGTATCCAAACCTGGTTAGAATTATCATATTGCTTTAATGTTTGCATGGGATGCGGGTGGCGCTGTGGGTTAAACCACAGAGCCTAGGACTTCCTGATCAGAAGGTCGGCGGTTCGAATCCCCACGACAGGGAGAGCTCCAGTTGTTCTGTCCCTGCTCCTGCCAACCTAGCAGTTCGAAAGCACATCAAAGTGCAAGTAGATAAATAGGTACCACTCTGGCAGGAAGGTAAATGGTGTTTCTGTGCGCTGCTCTCGTTCGCTAGAAGCAGCTTACCTATGCTGGCCACATGACCCAGAAGCTGTCCGCCGGCTCCCTTGGCCAGTAAAGCAAGATGAGCACCGCAACCCCAGAGTCGGTCACGACTGGACCTAATGGTCAGGGGTCCCTTTACCTTTACCTTGCATGCAAAATGCACCAGATCTATAGACATCTATAGCATAGTGTTCTGTATGTCAGCACCTTGAGTGCACTTTACCTACACATTCAGAATTTACTCTCATCTGTCTCGCACCTTGAGTTAGGCATATGGCACTGCAGGAAAACCACTCAATGCATACAGGTTTCCTGAATATTCTTAGTAGGTCAGCTCCCTGGGAAACAGTGGCTCACAGTGTTTATAAAAGGTAAAGGTACCCCTGCCCGTACGGGCCAGTCTTGACAGACTCTAGGGTTGTGCGCCCATCTCACTCAAGAGGCCGGGGGCCAGCGCTGTGTGAAGACACTTCCGGGTCACGTGGCCAGCGTGACATCGCTGCTCTGGCGAGCCAGAGCCGCACACGGAAACGCCGTTTACCTTCCCTCTAGTAAGCGGTCCCTATTTATCTACTTGCACCCGGAGGTGCTTTCGAACTGCTAGGTTGGCAGGCGCTGGGACCGAGCAACGGGAGCGCACCCCGCCGCGGGGATTCGAACCGCCGACCTTTCGATCGGCAAGCCCTAGGCGCTGAGGCTTTTACCCACAGCGCCACCCGCGTCCCTCACAGTGTTTATAGCACCTCACTAAACTTGTTTCTTGGTGAGACAACCTACCCCCCAAAAAAACCACACGAAAGCTACATCCAGATGAAACTTTTACTAAATCAAATGCCCAGGAAGGAGTGGAACATCTATCAGTGATAAGAATCAAATTTCCATAAGTCATTTTTCCACTGTCCGTCATCACTATTAATGCTTTTCTTTCAGTTGTTAATTGTTTTTCAGCTGCAGTGCTCAAAGAGATAAGCATCAGACACAACAACAACACAGTTAATGCATTAATGATCTATGCACAAAGGTAGCCTGCCTCCTAATACATTTTTGCACAATTGAATGCTGCCTGGCCTCCAGGCAGAATCATAGTTTAAAAAACAACAACCCGCAGCATCAAATGTTGAGGAGTGACATGAAGCATCAACCTCATGCAAAAACGGAGCCCTTTCTTCCTTTTCAACAACTCTTGAAAATGCCAGATATTGTCTGACAGGAGCATTTCAAAGGGAGATTTTCATTACTCATCGTTTTTTTGCATCTATTGACAAAGAGAATGCTGGGAAAGTTCAATGGGGATTTTTGGGGATCTTTTTTTTTCCTTGATGAGAAATTCCTGAGGGAAAATTATTTTTCCACAAACCTCCATAATATAAAATTTCTCTTGAAGCCTTGAATGAATTTACCTTCACCCAGAGGAAATATTTGATTTAGTTTGTTTGTAGCCCAAGCAAACAACTAAAGTGTACCGATTAGAGATTACCCTGAGTCTCTAGGATAGGATTAAAAATCAAATGAATGGATCAAATTAAATAACCCAAGAAGTTTAGATGAAATAAATTGTTATTATCTTCTGATTACCAAGAATAAACAATGGACCACTTGGAGATTCTTTACTGGTGTGAATTTAGGCTCATTTTAAACACACTTCTGCTTTATTAGAACAATTTTTAATTTTTGTCACTTGAAAAGTTGCTTCATCCTCATGAGCACTGGAGTTATCTTACTTTAGTGAGTGACTTTAGAGGCAAATTAATGGACGACAAGGCCATCAACTTGCCACGATAGCTATATTCTACCTCCACTGTTAGAGGAATTTAGACAGGAGAGGGTGGGTGGATGGCATCAGAACTACAACTGGAGACCCCTTGAATAGTTGGTAGCAAAGCTGCCAGGAAATCTTTTGTCAGGGAGATTTCTGGCTGGACCTCCCTTCTGAAGGGCGCAAATCTCCTCTCCGCCCCTCAGCTATGCACTCTATGGCTACGATGCACTCTATGGCTACCTGCAAAAGGAAATGAAAGACCCGGCAGGCCACCATTTTTGAGTGGGAAGCAGAAGAAGAGGTAGAGATTTGTGTTTGGACTCTGTAAACATTGTTGGGAGGAAACTGTAGTTTACACCCTCACAGAACTACAATTCCCAGAACCCTTAAAGCACAGTTCCCAGGGTGCTTGAGGGGAAGCCATGTGCAGGTTGTGACCTTTGCCTCCAGTGATCTCCTTCCAAAAGAAAGCTGGATCTTCCCTCTGCCGAGAGAAACAGGGTGTAATTTGTGCCTATTTATAACCTGAAATATAAACCGATGCTATTACTAAGATAACCAACTAGGGAAAAATAAAATAAAAGTCTGCTTTATGTTTTATAGATGCCTTCCTTTCCCATTGTGTATACACTCCAATAAAATCAGAAACCCTGCGCATCAGTATTGAACACTTCTGCCCAACTTAATTTAATTACCCATCTTAGTGAAGTTTTACACAATACAGTGGACGCTCGGGTTGCGAACGTGATCCGTGCGGGAGGCATGTTCACAACCTGCAGTATTCGCAACCCGCAGCGCCGCATCTGCACATGCACAAACCGCGATTTAGAGCTTCTGCGCATGCGCAAGCACCGAAACCTGGAAGTAACCAGTTCCGGTACTTCCGGGTTCGGTGTGGTGCGCAACCCGAAAATGCGCAACCTGAAGCATCTGTAACCTGAGGTATGACTGTATGTGTAAATGTGTGTTTTGTTTACATGAGTAGCTGCATTTGTTGGTGGCACACTCTGAAGAGGTTACACGAGAGCTCCTTTAGCTTTGTCGTTAAGTCCTATATATGTCAGCTGAGTTTCTTATAGAGTGCTGACGATGCGCATAAAGGTCTCCAGGCAAGAATCATCATCTCTTGTACTACAGGTTTCTCTTTGAAAATTACATTGTGCCTCACCTGCCGGTTTAGCAGCTTCCCAAAGGCGACTTACCTCCCGAGGAGGCTGGACGGGGCTGACACCTCACCTTCAAGTAAGCTGGATTTCTTGGGATGCAGCCTCTGAGGTGACATTAAATGTTACAACTCTCTCCTGTGACAGCAGCCAAATTCTCATGGAGGTTGTAATTCAGGAACCTTTTTCATCCCGGGGGCCACATTCCTGGGTAGGTTTCCAGGACCACATGCCAGTGGCAGTCAAAGTAGGCACAGCGACTAAGGTGAATGTTACTTTTGTACGGTAATCTAGTTTCCACACACTTGTCTATCCCTCTCTATCCCCCATCCAAGTCAGCAAGAAACATGATTGGTATACAAAATATATGCCACACTTTCCAGTTCATCTGGGTCCAAGGACATGTTCCAGCAGAACGAAAACAGTCTAGGAGGGTGCAAAGCATGGCCGTTTGAGGGGTGTGATGGAAGGGGGTGTGGCCTGCGGAAGACTTCTGAGGGCCAGTTGCAGGAACCTGGAGGGTCACATTTAGGCTCTGGGTCTGAGGTTCCCCGTTCTTCTTGTAAATCTATGATTGGGCTGTACCACTTAAAACTGAAGGAGGCGGGGTTCATGGAAGTCAGCTGGGGAAATTCTACTTGTAGCACCACACCCTACAGAATGTCAAAGGGCACTCAGCCAACAATGGTCTCTTGGCCGTTTACTATGGAATGCCCTTCCCTCCCCCTTTGCGAAGCTACAACCATCAATTGCTTCAGACATCATGTAAAGACATATCCCTGGCCCATGTCTTCTCCAGTCCCCGCTTTATGTATTTGAATCCCCCTAATTCCTGTTTTAATCAATTTTTATATGTGCCTATACTTTACCACCTTTATATTGTGTTTTCATTTTTTCCATTTGTTTTTAGTGAAAGATTTTCATGGATAACAAGGGCACCTACAACATCTCTGCTTTCCGTTCATAGAGCCTTTTCTACAGGTCAGCAACATTCGGCATAATGATATTGTCTTTTTATGTTGTGCACCGCTTACAGATTGTGCAGTTTATAAATGCTTTTATATAAGGAAGGAAGGAAGGAAGGAAGGAAGGAAGGAAGGAAGGAAGGAAGGCATATCCTGTATCTATAACAACCAACAAAAATGGTGGTTTGATTCCTTGCTAGCCTTCACTAAGCTCAAGCTCAAAATCATATTTGGATTAATTATCCTTTAGCATGAAATGCCATATTTACCATCAGGGTGTATGTAAAGTGTGGGTGAAGAGCCTTTTCCACAGTTGGGTCTACCTATAGAACTCACTGGCAATAGAAATCCACTGGGCTGCTTCTCAGCTTTCTTTTCATGCACCTGAGATTCTTCATTCATTCATTCACTTATTTCTCAAAGCTTCTCAGAGCTATTTTCAGAACTAGCACACGATAGCCTTATGCAAAATAGGATCTTCCCAGAATAGCAGGTGCAAAACCTGCCGACACATCACCTCCATAATAACTATTAAAATGCACATATAGCAACCATTTGAAATGCATGAAACTGACATGTGGCCATCATACCGTATAATCAAGCCTTCCAAATGCATTACAACAAAGACTTAAAAGCAGGTGTGAAGAAAAATTAGCCTGAAACAGAATGACCTCTCACTTCTCTCCAGATGAATCTCCTAGCATTTGTCTGTTGGTGCATCAGCAGGTCCTACAAGGGACTTAGTACAATACCATTACAATATGTGGTTGAGATCTCAAATATAAAACCATATAAAACTTTTTCACTGCAAAAGTAGGAGGTGAAACAGAAACACATTTGCATACGGTGGTCAGCCAAAAATCCTTGCTGGGGCTCCATTGTAGCCACTTTGCTTCTCGATTTGTCAGAGCAGCTGAACAAGCCAGGATTCAGCCCATAGCTTCTCATTACATGCAGATTGAGAAGTCTTCTTCTTCAGAGATCACTCATAGCCAAATAAGATTGTCTTACATGAATATGGTCTTAACAGTGAGTCCGTAAATGACTGTGGAGGCCAATTCTGGATCTGCACATCCTTCCACAGTGGGGACATAGGTTTCTGGGCAGGAGTTGATCATGGGAGGGTTTGCCAAGCATCCCTTTCTCTTAGCTCATTTCTCCCTTTTGTCCTGAGTTTGTGCTTCTTCAAAGTCCATGACGCCTATTATAGCGGCTATTCTCCAACTGGAGCACTCACAGGCCAGTGATTCCCAGTTGCTGGTGTTTATACTACATTTTTTAAGATTTGCCTTGAGAGCATCTTTAAACCTCTTTTATTGTCCACCAGCATTACACTTTCCGTTCTTAAGTTTGGAATAGAGTAGTTGCTTTGGAAGACAATAATCAGGCATCCAAACAACGTGACCAGTCCAACAAAGTTGATGTTGAAGAATCACCGCTTTGACACTGGTGATCTTTGCTTCTTCCTATACACTGGCATTAGTTCGCCTGTCTTCCCAAGTGATATGTACAATTTTTCAGAGACACAGTTGATGGAATCTTTTGAGGAGTTGGCGTTTATAAGTGGTCCATGTTTCACAAGCATACAGTAAAGTTGGTAGAACAATAGCTTTGTAAACAAGCATTTTGGTTTTCCTGCAAATGTCCCAGTTCTCAAACACTCTACACTTCAGTTGGGAGAAAGCTGCACTCGACTGGAAAGTATGGTCAATGTCTTCCAACCAAGCCAGGACATTAAGCAGCCTCTAAACCATATGGCTTTGTATCCTGGCTTTTTGGAAGACAGGAACCATAGTTTCTGGCTTTTCATGTAATGGGAAGCTAAGGTTACGGGCTTCATCCTGGTTCTCCCAAAAAGGGAAGAATGAAGCGTCTGCAAAAGGGGTTGCATCCCTTATGCATCTGGGCTTGTTCATCCAAGATCTTTGGCTCAGTGTTGCTTGCAATCACGGCTGAAATCTCTAGGCTGATTCACGCACCCAAATCTATCACTCAATGCTAAGTGGCAGCAACTACGTGTGATCCAACACAGAAGTCACATATTACCTCACACCCCCAAAACTACAGTGCCTTTTGGTAGAATGAGTTTGCACATTCAAATACGAGTCATCGAGCGTTGAATATCGAAATAATGAGATATCAAAGGATGGATTGGGCTCTCCAGCAACACCATGAGGTCCTGTCACCCATGCTATGTGCACTATTGTCAGCAATGACGCCTTGATATGCTAATGTTTGTTTTTCTTTCCAGGAGTCTCAGACTGAAGAGATTGCCAACTTCCTAGCACAGTCAGCCATGCTTTGTTCTGTATGCAAGCATAGAATTAACTCTACTGGAAGGTGAGCTCTAGGAATTTCAAAAGTAAACATGCTTTTAAAAAATAAAATAAAATAAGGTGGTTTAATAAAACGTGTCACATTGACTATTTTGTGAGCACAAAAAGGGTAAAAAGGTAAAGGACCCCTGGACAGTTAGGTCCAGTCGAATCTGACTATGGGGTGCGGTGCTCATCCCTGCTTTCAGGCCAAGGGAGCCAGCGTTTGTCTTCAGACAGCTTTCCAGGTCATCTGGCCAGCATGACTAAACAGCTTCTGGAGCAACAGGACACCATGACGAAAGCCAGAGCACACAGAAATGCCATTTACCTTCCCGCAGCAGTGGTACCTATTTATCTACTCACGCTGGTATGCTTTCAAACTGCTAGGTTAGCAGGAGCTGGGACAGAGCAACGGGAGCTCACTCCGTCACGGGGATTCAAACTTCTGACCTTATGATCAGCAAGCTCAGGAGACTCAGTGGGTTAGACCACAGCGCCACCCACATCCCTCTGTCAGGTACAAAGCTTACTGAGTGACCTTGGAGGCTGGTCACTATCTCTCAGCCAAGTCTTCCTCACAGGGCTTGTGCAAGGATAAACAGATGTGGCTAAGATTCCCAGCTCCTAGGGTGAAAGTTGGGTTATTAATGGAAATAAATAAAACAATTTTCAATGCATTTTTGCTTTTCCCTTTCTGCTTCTATGCTCTAAATCAGGGATAGGGAAACGGGTTTGCCCAGTTGATCTCAGAATGACTTGCAGTGGATCAACAAGACCACCTCTCTTCCAACTCTTTAACATTAGTTACAACTCAGATAACTGGTTACTCAGCTATAAGTGGCACTGGCTTGTTTATTTAAAGTACTGTACTCAGTTTGGTCTGCTTGGCCAATGTTGAATGTTAAATTTGTCACGGGTCTCACTATATTATTTGTTGTTGTTGTTGTTGTTGTTGTTGTTGTTAGTGCTGGAGGAGACTTTTGAGAGTCCCATGGACTGCAAGAAGACCAGAGCTATCCATTCTGAAGGAAATCAGCCCTGAGTGCTCACTGGAAGGACAGATCCTGAAGCTGAGGCTCCAAGACTTTGGCCACCTCATGAGAAGAGAAGACTCCCTGGAAAAGACCCTGATGTTGGGAAAGATGGAGGGCACAAGGAGAAGGGGACGGCAGAGGACGAGATGGTTGGATAGTGTTCTCAAAGCTACCAGCATGAGTTTGACCAAACTGCGGGAGGCAGTGGAAGACAGGAGTGCCTGGCATGCTCTGGTCCATGGGGTCACGAAGAGTCAGAGACGACTGAACGACTAAACAACAACAACATTATTACTATTAACTGCACACTTCTCCCAAAGAAGTCTGGGAACTGCAGTTTTCTGTTGCAGAACTATAATTCCCAGCAGCCTTAAGCAACAGTTCCTGGGATTACGTGGGGGACATTATGTACTTTAAACATGTGTTGGATATGCATTAAATGGATGGTCTCTTTATTTCTCTTTATTTTTTTCAGACAAAAACTCAGGGATTGGAAAACGAGGATTAGAGTTTTGTGTGAAAAGGTTGAGACCACTCATTTCTGGTAATGGGGGGGGGGGAATCCTGGACTAAGCATGACCCTTCTTTAATTCTAAGTGTATATCTCTATATACAAACACTTGGTCCCATTGGGTGGATCTTAGAGATCTAGTTAAAAAATAAACGAAAAGGTAGATCATTCTCACAAGCCTGCCGTCTGCCCACTCATACTGTATACTATACAGCGAGTGACAGCGTGCCAATTTTTGCTGTGGTAGTTTCACTGCTCTGGCGGCTGACTGTAAAACGAAACTGAATGGAATGGAAGGAGACCAGTGAGCTTCAGATAAGCTTAAATCGTCTTGCCAGCTTCCCCTTTTGCGATCTGCTGATGGAGCCAAGATGACTGTCAGAATTTTATGGAGCATATCTTTGCTGTTCTTTGGCACTGCCCTGCCTCTGTGGGCATCTCAAATTTCCTGCATAAATGATGACGGCAAGCCAGTGGACTGGTAGGTAAAACAGGTGGGTTTGAAGGAAGCCGAGGCAAGTCCATATATATATATATATATGGAACAACATGAAGCTCCAACACTCAACTCTAAGAGAAAATAATTAGCAAATTAATATCAGAGGCTGTTAAAGTTGCCTTTGAACTATACCTCCAGAAAATGAAATGTAAGCTACTGAAATCTGATTAGTTTTCTGCGCACTTTATGCACATCATCGCATTATGACTAATTGCAAAACAGCCATTGATTCACAGAGGGCTTGTTCCTTTTGATCAAGAGAGAAAATGATTATGCATTACAATTCCAAGCCTCAGGGAAACAAGAGCAGTAAGAATAGCACGTATGCCAAACTTGCATCTCATCGTGGAAGTGTTTCTCTTCCTTCTCCCTCCCTCTCTTATCCGGCAGTGCAGGGCTGACGAGGGAGGAGGCAGCAGGCAGCTATTTCATAATGTCTCCATTGCAATCTTGTTCTTCAGAAATACCTCTCGCATAACTATCTTGGGGAGTGAGCTGTCTCCTCGTATGACAGCCTTAGCACGGTGACACAATCTGGATCCTTGAAGCACATCATCTGCTTTGTTAATCAAGGCTCATTTTGCAGCTAGGCATATCAGTATGTGAAAGCTGACAGATAGGAGAAACGAGTTGCTTGTTTTACACCTGTGGAGATGGGACTGTCAACTGTTGCAGAAAGTCTTTTGGCGGTGATTGCATGTGCTATTGAAATTCAGTCTCCAACGTTCATTTAAATCTGCTGACTCTAAGTCCACATTTGCAGAGCCTTTTTTTTTTTTTTTTAAAAAAGACATCATGTTGTTACCCATACAGAGCCCAACTGTCAATGGGGTCCCCCCCCCAATACAGTGGTACCTTGGTTCTCAAACTCCTTGGTACTCAAAGAACTTGGAACCCAAACACTGCAAACCCAGAAGTGTTTGCAAACTTTTTCAGAAGCCAAACTTGCACCATTTTGAGTGTTATGCTTCTGATGTGAGTGCCACACTTCCGTTTTGAGTGTTACACGGAGGTCTGTCTGTTTTTGCTATTTATTTTGCGTTTTTGCTTTTGTGGCTCTTTTTGTTTTGTTTTTGTGATTATGTAGAACCCAGTTCAGCTACTTATTGATTGATTGTGTGACTGCAGTACATTGTTTATTGCTTTCATTTTATGGATCAATGGTCTCGTTAGATAGTAAAATTCATGTTAAATGGCTGTTATAGGGGTTGTTTTTAAAAGTCTGGAACGGATTAATCCATTTTGCATTACTTTCTATGGGAAAGCGCGCCTTGGTTTTGGAACGCTTTGGTTTTGGGACTGACTTCCGGAACGGATTGATTTTGAGAACCAAGGTACCACTGCACTAATTGAAATATGCAGGGGGTGGGAGTACCAGGATTGCTGCTGGGGAGGGAAGCCTTAACACTATGCTCCCTGCACACCGCAGTGCCCACCCCCAGCCTAATATTTAATATTTTAGAGCTCACAGTCTCATTGCTAGTCAGGCATTGTAGTTAGGTTCTCAGCTAAGCTCCATTGACTTTGTGTACATCTATGCAAAGTAGGAGGAAGAAACGGCCAAATTTTCTTTCAGTGTGACTTTCAAGTTTTGTAAAAACAAGAACAACCCACCAGCACCATCTTGCAAAACAAAACGCAATTAAAAATCCCAAGCCAGCTGTTTTAAACTGACAGTATTTATGGCCTCCACATTTGTGTGGTTTGAAGTAACGAGGGGCAGAGCAGAAGTGAAACTGTTGCATGCAAAACTACTGCTCCTTGCAGAAAAGCAAAGGGTGCATTCATTTCTAATGACAACTCTTAGCAGAAAGGTGAAATAAGTTTCAGCAGGTGCATTTCATAACTGCACTAATTATTCATCTGCTTGCATCCTCATTTAAAGCACGAACTATTGTGATGGGGCATTGTTGTGATCTGGTACGGTAGATTAAAAAAAAAATATGTTTCTCTGAGACCCATGAAAATTACAAGGTGAATTGACACGAACTCATTTTTATATACTGTATAGGAAATGGGTTCTTTAAAAATCTCAGAAATATTTAATGCACAATGTGATCTTGGTGGTTTTTAGTTTGCGTTCAAAAACAGCCTTGCGAATAAGTATAGCCTACACAAACGTTTAACTCTCCTAACATGCCTAAATGCCCGTGGTATATAATTTTTTTTTTTTTAACAGCTACTGTAAAGAGTTTCTCTCTGGTCAACCTGGAGATGACACTTACTTGCCACAGAACAAACAAGCCGCTATATATAGGCCAGTTCTGGCCTAGAAAAGGTTTACTAGACTATTTGCTCATACGCATCTGCATTAGGTATTTCTGATGTAGCCTTTAAAAGAAGGTATCTCTGCTTTACAAAAGCAACCTGGTAGCTTGGATGAATTTCTCATTTTCCATAGGTGACCAGTCTAGTGAATATTATGAAGGAGCTGACATAGCTTACCTGTACTCATAGGAGCCAACTCCTAGGGGCTCAGGTCTCTTCAGCCCCCCCCCCAATATTTAAGGGGACCAGGCTCCCACAAACTTGATGGGCATTGCCATTCAAATGGTGTGTGCCATGTCTTGTGATGGATTATGTGGGGTGGGGCTTACCTGCCCCACCCCAATATTTTATTAAAGTTTGCTTGTACAGTGGTAACTCAGATTACATACGCTTCAGGTTACATACGCTTCAGGTTACAGACTCCGCTAACCCAGAAATAGTGCTTCAGGTTAAGAACTTTGCTAAAGGATGAGAACAGAAATCGGGCTCCGGTGGCGCGGCAGCAGCAGGAGGCCCCATTAGCTAAAGTGGTGCTTCAGGTTAAGAACAGTTTCAGGTTAAGTACGGACCTCCGGAATGAATTAAGTACTTAACTTGAGGTACCACTGTACTTCATATTATATAGAAACAATGACAACTTTTATTTAGGCAAGTATTAAGTTTGGAAAGATAGGGTGCTTGCTGCCAGCCCTCTCCACCGCTCCCCACTTCCCCCATACTTAGCTGGAGAGACAACATCACATGGTGGGGAGATGTTTAACAAAGACCACACCTTTTCAGCACCAAGCGTTCCCTGATTCTTCTAAGAATGTTCAGGTGTTTGGGTTGTATTCAGCTAATGCAATTTATTTGTCATGGCTGAATTAGTCATGTTGGTTCATTTCAAAGGGTCTACTTTGAGTAGAATTTGCATCGAATTCCAGCCACAGGGTAATGTTATTCCCAGTGGATCCCAGGTCATTTAATTAAGCAGAGGGGCATTTGGAACTGCATTTCCCTTGCTTTCTGGTGGCAGCCGGCACTTCTGACCTTTCTTGGAGTAATTCAGGAGTGTCTGAGACTTCTGCCACAGTTAAAGCATCCCACACAAGCCCTCTGTGTTCCCTTCAAGGTCATAATTGGAATCAACTATATATAATAGCATGTAATGAAGGCACAACATAGCTATAATGGCCAGAGCACAATGCAATTTTAATGAAACAGTATGCAAACCAGGATGTCAAAATATAAGTCCGAACTTCCAGGGAAAATATAATTAATCGAAAAATAGGAAATATTGTAAGAACTGGCTGTATAACAGGCATTCAGACTATTAACTTGTCATCTGAATTTTAGCCATTCCCTTTCAAATGCAGTGATATACCTGAAGTTCAAGCAAGGTGTATCTGAAAAACTCATTTCAAGCTGGCGCGTTTACATAATTAGCTACTGACAATTTCCAAAGCTGACCATGTTTGCATCATTAGCTACAATTTGTTTTTAAGGTATAATTTTGATGCATAACAAACCTTTTCTTAAAGCACTCCCAATTTAACCCTACACATTTTTTCCCTAGGTATGTTCTTTACAAATTCCCTAAGCACATGAGTCACAATGTGGCTGGAACTGGGCTGGAATACATGTTTATGGATTCTTTGGCTCCGATTTGGAAACCAAGCAAATATTTCGTCAACATGACAGAAAGTGCTCTGGGGCAAACGTTGCAGCAGCTCTACCAAACGTACAAGTCCGAGGCAAGTGATAACTACAAAAGCAAATGAAGCAGACAGAAAGGCCCTTAAAAAAAGTACTGAGGGAAATCTCAGTAAGAGTATTTAGGGCAGGGGTGTGGGCCACAAGCAATATATTTACTATAACCATTCAACAACCAACGAGAACCGAGCAAATAAGTTACAAAACAGGAAACACGCATAAAAAATATCCATAATACATACTGCAACATTAAAATACACCAGTTAAAATTAACTTGAATCCGCATAATCCGCATAGATTCTAGATAAACAGCCAGTAACTTTATTAGCACTTCCTTTTATATGAATTATGTCAAAATCAAAATCCTGAAGAGTGAGGCTCCACCTTAAAAGCTCTTGGTTAGAATTTTTTACTCTGCCGAATCAATATAACGGGGAATGATCTGTTTCGATCGTAAACCATTGACCCCAGAGGTAAGAGCATAATTTATCAAGGGCCCATACTACAGCCAAACACTCCTTCTCAACCGCAGCGTAATTGCGTTCTCTGGGCAATAACGTCTTACTGGTAAATACAAGAGGACGTAGTTCACCTTCAACATCTTGTTGAAGCAGGATGGCACCAAGACCAGCTTCTGAAGCGTCAATCTGAACTACGAAAGGCTTCTTTTGATCAGGTGCTGTTAACAATTGAGACTGCAGCAAAGCTTGCTTTAAGGCATTAAAAGCATTTTGACAGATATCGCTCCATACAGTTGTCAGGTTGATATTTTTAACACAAATCAGCAAGTGGTATTGCAAAGTCAGGAATGAATCACCTATAAAACCCAATTAAGCCTAGGAAAGACAGCATTTGACGTTTGGCCTTAGGTACTGGCTAATCCTGAATACTTTGGGCTTTAGCCTCTAAAGGCTTAATATGACCTCTCCCCACAAGGTGTCCAAGATATTCCACCTCTCCTAGGGCAGATTGGCACTTCAGAACATTCGAAATTAGACCGGCATGTTGAATCTTGACCAAAACACTCCATGCTTCAAATGGTCACCCCAGAAGTCACTAAAGACTGCAATATCATCTAAATAGGCACAAGCAAAGTTAGACATGCCATTGAGCAGAGAATTAATCAAGTCCCAGGAGCATTCCATAATCCAAAAGGCATGTTAATGAACTCATACAAGCCCATATGTGTAATAAATGCTGATTTGATAGGTGTATTGTGGTCCATATTAATTTGCCAATATCCTTGCCGTAGTCTGCAGCACTATTGACTGTCTTCTCGGCTCACACTCTGGGGCAGATTTCTTTGGAAAGAATTGTCTATAAAGCAACTCTTTCTCCCACACTTCTACATACTTCCAAAGTTGGGCCCTTAAGCAGTTCTTTCTTAAAGTCATGATCATGAAGGGGTGAAGGAGAAGTCATGGTATTCTCACCAGACTTTGCCAAAGAAATTTCTGTTGACCCACAACCTTCATCAAACTGATTTGCATCTCCAGTGACAGGCTTCTCAACACATTGGCTAGCCAGCCTTTCTAAACCTGTGGGTCCCCAGATGTTGTTGAACTACAACTCCCATCACCCCTAGCTAGCAAGGCCAGAGTTCAGGGATGATGGGAGTTGTAGTCCAACGACATCTGGCGACCCACAAGTTGAGAACCACTGGGCTAGACGATTCCTAGCCTGCTGAGCTAAATGCTGTCTAAAATGAGATCATTGTCTATAAGGCAAGGTGTAAACATACCATTTTCATGTACTAAAACTGGCAAGGACCCTTTAAAATCTTTGTATTCACAATCCACCTGGGCTAGACTGGTTTTTACTGCTTGGCCCCCATAGGGAGTTACAATCAACTCTTTACCTCTTTACCTGAAGGACCAGGTGCACAGCCTGGGAGTCATTTTGGACTCACAGCTCTCCAGGGAGGCACAGATCAATTCTGTGTCCAGGGCAGCTGTCCACCAGCTCCATCTGGTACGCAGGCTGAGACCCTACCTGCCTGCAGACTGTCTCGCCAGAGTGGTGCATGCTCTAGTTATCTCCTGCTTGGGCTACTGCAATGCACTCTACATGGGGCTACCTTTGAAGGTGACCTGGAAACTACAACTAATCCAGAATGGCCTTGGCCCAGTATACCTGAAGGAGCGTCTCCACCCCCATCGTTCAACCCGGACACTGAGATCCAGCACCGAGGGCCTTCTGGGGGTTCCCTCACTGCGAGAAGTGAAGTTACAGGGAACCAAGCAGAGGGCCTTCTCAGTAGTGGCACCCACCCTGTGGAACACCCTCCCATCAAATGTCAAGGAAATAAACAACTATCTGACTTTTAGAAGACATCTGAAGGCAGTCCTGTTTAGGGAAGTTTTTAATGACTGATGTTTTAATGTATTTTTAATCTTTTGTTAGAAGTCACCCAGAGTGGCTGGGGAATCCCAGCCAGATGGGTGGGGTAATAATAATAATAATAATAATAATAATAATAATAATAATAATAAACCTTCTAAAATTTGGCCAGGTTGTAATAGCCTCTTGGATACTGAGGTAATATCAGCCCCTGTGTCCCATAACCCAACTAATAAGAGGTTATCAATTTTAATTTCCTCACTGAATTGCACCTGAGCCCATCTAGATTTACGTGGGTCAATTAATGCCATTCTCACAGTCTGTTGAACCCCATTCAACGCCTCTTCTAATGAACCATTTTCTGTTGAAGCACCTCTCCCCCAAAATGGAAATGTGACACACCCACACACGGTCAAAAGAGGACATATATTTGCTTAAGATGTTCACATGCTAATTTACAGGTTATAGGTGCTAATTTAAGGTGCTAATTTAGAAATGATTGTAAAATAGAAATAGAAACGCAATATCTCACTGTAGTAGAGAAGAGTGTCCTTAAGTGACCTGTGTGCCTCTACTCCATCCTTGAAGTTCATTGCTGGACAACCAGATGGTCATTCAGTAGATGATGACCAAACAGATGGTTGTCCTCTGAAAGTGGGGCATATGGCTACCCTAGGTATAAGGGTGACTTGAGTGGCCATAGAAAAAAAAACACCACACAGGTGAGTCCTCATTAGGGATTGGCAAATTTGTCCATTTTAGTTTCTCATCTTAAAGCCTTCATTCATCATGTTTTTCGGTTCTCGGGATTTCTGCAGCAATTTGCACACATGGAGGGAGAGGAATTAAACCCCCGTGAAAATTTGTCAAATTTTTTTGGTACAGATTTCTCCTAATAAACTTATTTTTGTATGCCGTTTTGACAAATATGCACATTTTTTGCAAGCAGTTCCCCCAAATATTTTTTTGTATGTATGCATCTAATGAACATTCTCCCATGATACATATGCATTGTTTGGTTGGAGAACTACACTGGAAAAATGGTAGAAGTGCGAATTTTGAATAATAACCCTGTTTTGGTTTGTGCATTGGTTCGAGAAGTGCAAATTAGTTAGTGTTACATTAAAACACAAGCAAAACTGAATCCTGCCCCCCTTAGTCCTCATATTTTTTAGATTCTTTAGGAGACCTTTTGCTATGAAAGAGCACTGAGAAGGCTAGGTTTGTGGTTGTCCTCCCAGAAACCTATGTCTACAGGCATTTAGCTATACTATACCAGGTTTCTTTTTAATAATTAACAGGAAGGATTAGCGTCACAGCTAATTTCCACATTGTTTGGTCCCAAATGTGTGAGTGCTACTAAACCCTGAAACACACAGATGCACACACAAGTATCCATGTGTCAAAAAAAAGCTTTTCCCCTGGAGTATTGGGTGTGAGACAGAGAATTCACTCATCTTGGGGAGAATGCTGTCTGAAATGTTTAATGCAAGTATGCTTGTTTCTCTAGCCTGGTAACTTTCTCAAAGAGCCAAGTGCAAGCTCTCTTTTGATTATCATAGGCAAGGATTCTGCAAAATGTAAAGTTGGACAGACTACTAACTTGGTCTTTTGATGTGCACCTTGTTGAATGAGTTAATTTTCTTATCCGTTCTGATTTCGAGAACCGAATCTATGATTTTTTTTAAAGTGACCAACAAGCTATTAAATTTGCATTCTCTTAGGAGCTGTTTTCGAGATCGTGTGTACCGTATATTTAAATATGTAGTTAATGATCGATTGTTAGTATTCATTACAAATAACATTTTTTACTAGGAGTTTTTAATTATATTGAAATAAATAGGCATTAATATATATTTTAAAAAGTTGGCCAGACTGCCAAGATAGTATTAGCTTCTTGCCATCTTTCCAGCAGCTACATTTAAATACAATTAAGTTTTTTAAAACTAGTGCTATGCATCCACTTACTAGAAAATGCAATGCGAAAAGTTCACGCTGTACAAAGGGTAATTTTGTAGGAGGGTAATTTTAATAACATAGGCTATGGGCCAATGTGACTGCTCACTAGGGATATAAGAATTTCTGCTTCAATTTCTGTTTTCTTTGGTATTTCCCAGCATCCCTACTTTTTACAGCACTAGAGGTGATTTAAAGCTGTGAGCCTAGGACTTGCTGATCAGAAGGTTGGCGGTTCAAATCCCCGCGACAGGGTGAGCTCCCATTGCTCAGTCCCTGCTCCTGCCAACCTAGCAGTTCAAAAGCATGTCAAAGTGCAAGTAGATAAATAGGTACTGCTCCGGTGGGAAGGTAAACGGCGTTTCCGTGTGCTGCTCTGGTTTGCCAGAAGCGGCTTAGTCATGCTGGCCACATGGCCCGAAAGCTGTACGCTGGCTCCCTCGGCCAGTAAAGCGAGGTGAGCGCTGCAACCCCAGAGTCGGCCATGACTGGACCTAATGGTCAGGGGTCCCTTTACCTTTATCTAGATTATGCCTTTGGCTTCACACCAGTGGCAAAGGACCCTCTTGTGTCAATGATAAGGAGAGTGTTGCTTTTTAGAATCATGTTTCATTAAATAACATATTTAATAGACTGGTGTCTGTCTGTCTGTTTGTCTGTTTAGGAAAACAGCACTGCCTATGTGATATATAATGATGGACCACCTAACAAAATGAATTACAGCTGGACACATGGACATTCTAAAGGTATTATCAAGTGGCTTTTGGCCTGTTTCCACCTGCTACAGATGAGGATGGGTCCAGAAAACCACACAATGCCCTGCATAACCTTCCTTGCTATGTGAGGGAGTTGAAGTGGGAAAGCAGTGTAATGGGCATTCTGAATGGGAAAGCACTTTCAAGGATGAAAACCTTCATCTCTGCCAACAAAAAAACTATAAAAGGAAAGAAATGTATTCGACCTCCTGGACAAAATAGAAGGATATAAGCAAACGATTTGGTCATACTGAATGGATAGGTGATATATATCGCCCGAATATGAAATATGAATTCCTGGGCAGAGAGTGACTTCTGCACCCTCGTATCTGGGTGACCCCAGAGCAGAATTTGCCACCCATATGCCATTCTGGCGCTGAACTCTTTTGGGAAGCTGTTTGGTGGTAGCAGAAAGTTAAGTGTGTAAAATTTGGCAATCTGAACCTACACTGAGGAAATGGCTATTTCCCCACAGATTTAGTCTTGATGGCTCCACGTCTAATTGCTCTATATCTAGCAACCCACATTTCTCCACATTTAAAAGGTCATGCAAATCCTCCCCTTAAGGCACATGCTTGAAATACTTTCTGCAGTGAGGAAAGAAGATTTTTTTAAAACTATTCTAGAGAGGGATAATCAACTTCTGCAAAGTCATATGCTGGGATCTTGGCACCTGAAGGCCAAACTAGTCACAAAATGTGGAGAAATCCATGATTACAATGGCCAGTAGGCTGTTGCGGGTAGATTTTCAACTAATTAGTAGCTTCAACTATCAGGAGAGTGGCCCTTGGGAAGAAGGTGTTTAATGCATTCCTCTTTGAAGTTTTCTTGCTATTAGCTTTGGCCAGAAGTACAGGAGGAAAGGGTTAAGCGCCCCTTTCCCCATTGGCCACTTCTCCAGTTAGAGAACTTTCACATCATGTCTAGTTTGACCCCAGAACTTTCAGGATCCGCTGAGAAAATGAGTGACTTGCTGGTCGTGTACCTTTTTTCTAGGCAGACACTGTCACCGTTGACTGTGTGGAAGACATGTGTGAGACTGTGCTGGGTGAATAGAAGGATCCCGTGCTGGGAAAAGTGATCCCAAGCCACATTCCTGTGTATTAGTCAGACCATTAAATTATTTAACTGGGATAATGCAAATGGAGAGAGGCTTTTGACTTTTATGTTCATGAAAATTCCCACGATGACACAATTCCTTGCATTTTTCTTCCTTTATTAATGACAGGGTTTTTGCTCTTGGACCAGTACCAAGGTTTCTGGGTTATACACAGTATTCCCGAATTCCCTCCATTTCCCGAGGACGGCTATGGATATCCACGCACGGGAAAGTACAATGGACAGATAGCAATCTGCATAACATTCCGATACGAGCAGTTTGCGGAAATAGGTAATGATAGCTTACTGTCTAGAAAGTGAGCGCAAACATGTCTAGATGAGTTTCTGGCTGCCGGTGTTTGTTACCTTAGATGTGCCTTATGTATGTATAGCTTGTTTTGAAGCTTACAAGTCGGTCATCTTAAATTGTAATTGGTAGCACTTCAAGTTTTGAATCAAGAATGTGAAACTTGCTAAGTGCCAAGGCTCATGTGCCGACACACATTGACCGCAGGCCTCAACGAATTTGGCATACCATTTTCATGCATGTGGCAAATTATACGGTAATCGTTAGCTGGGCATGCTGACTTGGAAGTAAGTCCCATTATATCAAATGGGCCTGGTCGCCTAGGAAGAGCTTTGGGAACGGCAGTCTTAATCTCAGCTCCAATGAAAAGAGTTACAAAATGGTTGTTCTAGGGCTGGAAAAAATTTACAAAGGCTTAACGCTAAGAGCAGTAAGTGCTATATGTCCAGAAACACAGATCTATTCAATGGTTGTGATTCATAGAATTGTACAGTTGGAAGGCACCCTGAGCATCTTCTAGTCCAATCCGCTGCAAAGCAAGAATATGCAGTTGTCCCATACGGAGATCAAACCTGCAACCTCGGCATTATCAGCACCACGTTCTAACCAACTGAGCTATCCAGGCATAAGAACAAAGGGACACCCGGATATAAGGATGTAAGTCGAAGCACGCATATTAAGTGTCCCAGAAATTGAATGTTTTGCAACTGAATGTGTTTAGAGTTCAGAGATAAGCCATTACCTTGATTTTTGAAGGACTAATGTGACTAATACACATCTGAACTGTAAGTGTGAGATTAAGGCTGCAGTCCTAAAAGTTCAAGTGTTGCCTTTTTTCTCAACTCAAAAACATATTCAGCTACAAAGAAACAGATTTCAGCAACGTAGCCACACTTAATATGTTTGCTCAGGATTACAACCTTTATCACAAACATTGAAATCATATGGGTTTCTGTTACATTGTTTTTGGTTTTAGGAACATAGACTTATTGCTCTTTGGGTTTTCAAACTAGCCTTGGCAACCATGAAAGCTGGAACCTTTTTCAAGTCCCAGAGCAGCCACTGCAACACCGTTTTCTTATTTCCAGTGTGCATGCATGTGTGCAATTACTTTAAAAGGTGACTTTTGGGGGGGAAATGCCCTGCATAACCTTTCAGTGTTTTATATTTGCTGCTTCTCAATTCTGCATGGAATAAGCTGCATTTCTGCAAATCTAAGGTGTCTGTCTCAAACTATTAACAGTTTTCCACTCAGATTCCAAAGTATGGAGATGTTATATTATTATTGTTATCATACAGATACCTACTGAGAAGTGAATTAAATGAGACTTACTCCCAGGTCAGTGTGTATGGAATTGCAGCTCAAAAGTTTGGTCTACATCTTTTCCAAGTTTATTCTGAATGGACATGCCTATGATTGGGCAACATCATCACCTGATCCTGAGTGAAGCACAGACCAGAAGCAGGATCTATGGCTAAAGATGAGCCATATCTTCTCAAAGACTCCCAGGAGCATCAACTCCCAGGAGCATCAACTTTCACACAAGCACTAAGCAGGGGAACTTTCCTTGATGACATTTCTGCGAGGAGAGATATAAGACTATGCTAGCTGCATGGGTTGCATGATCACACGAATCCGCTGTGCACAGGAACAAGGAATCAGTGGGCTGAAACTAGTGTTCACCCATGGAATATGAAAGGCATAGGCTGTTGTTTCTTTAAGTCTGCAAAGGATACATGATTGATTATACCCTTCTCTCAATTTGCACTATGTTTTCGGTGCATTGAAGTGTATGGAGTGGAATAAAGTAATGACAAGGGAACAACAAGACAAATAACACAGTTTTTGGCAGAGGACGAACTGCAGCAGTGTGGAAACAGCGCTGCATGCAAAAGTGTAAAGCAGAAAACAATTCCTTCTAGAAACTCAGGAATCAGTTGGGTGTGTAATAGATCCTGCCTACCTCCTCTCACAAAAATTGCTTGTACCAATGCTGCTTACATACGTTCTTCAAAACTAGGACAGCATTTAGCACTTTTCACTGGTTTTTTCTTTTAAACATAGCTTTTGTTTTTCCATTTTCTTCAGATAAGCAATTGTTATTCTACAACCCAAATGTCTACAACTGTTCCATCCCAAAGCCCTTTCAAGCAGAGCTCCTCAACCTGCAAACAATGTGTGCAGGAGCACATCTGCCTTCAGTTCCTTCAAATCAAAGCCTTATCAAGCTTCTGTCAGCCCAGGGAGAAATTCTGTTCAACTTTGCTAAAACACGGTACGATCACGAAGGTAAGAATATCTATCATGAAGTTATCACTTTTGTGGAAACGGGGGAGGAGGGGGCTTTGAGGGGATTCGTGACAGGAAACCTGATGCATCAACTACTGGTGGTCTTAGACACACGTAGCAGTATAGCTATATATTTGCATATCCTTAATAACAAAGGGATAGATAATAATTCACCTCCCATTGAGGGCAGAAAAATTGTGATAATGGCAATGAGGATGCAACCCAAACTCTGAACACTGAAACACCTTAACCAAAACTGAAGAGCTGGCAACTTAATCATTACAAACATCTAGGGATCCTTCAAAAAATATAATTCCCTCTAACAGGAAACTCCGGGGTCCCCTTGCGGACAAGACTGGAGCCACTGAGAATGAAACGGAATGAAACAAAATGAAATTGAAACCAAAGTGGGGTGGGGGTGACCTTTCTTCAAATTAGCCTAATGAGTACTGAGCATGCCCAGTTCTCACAGAAAGCCATAAGATACTGAATGTCAGCTGAATAAGAAAAAGAGACAGAGAAGCAGAGAGTGTTTATTTGCCACTTAAAAACTTCAAAGCCATGCTGGATCAGACCAGAGGCCTGCCTAGTCCAGCATTCTCGTCCCTCAGTGGCAAACTGAAATGAAGTACGGTATACAACCTTAGCCCTAATGGAGTCAATTTAAGAAGCAAAGCCAGTGATAATTTCTCACTTGCCCCCAATCCCTGATTTGCCAGATATCTACATCGCCTGGATGGCTCAGAAACTGCAAACAAACTTCCTGGTGGAATCCTGGCAGCGCAAGGGACACCGGCTGTTCTCCAATTGCTCCCTTCCTTACCATGTCTACAATGTAAACCTTGTTGGCACACCATGGAACTCCTCATTCCCATCCTATTACGACCATTCTAAGTGGTGCGTTTCTTCACGCCCTGAAGACAGATGGACATGTGTCGGAGACCTAAATTATTCCCCTCAACAGGCTAAGAGAAGTGGTGGCTTCGTTTGCACCCAGAATCAGCATATTTACATGGCTTTCAGGGCGTTGGTTCTCCATTATTATGATTGCCGTGAGTTTCAGGAATTTACAGGTGCAGCACAGACCTCTGGTCTCTAGGTCCTTCCTGAAAAGTGCAATTTTTCCTTCTTTCTTAAAAAAGAAATGTTTCTGGTCCTCATGGCTTTGGAGAAACAAAAAGAGGCTTGGGCATGATTTCAGGAAACAGGATGGTTCATTGGGCCTGTCCTGGAAGATCATATCTACTTTCTTTTTTTACTCCTACATTCTCCAGTCTTTTCTAAGGACTTTGTATTCTGTAAAATACCCTAATATCAGAATTAGATATTATGTAACTGCAAGCAGGCCTGCATGATTTAGATAATTGGTTCTTAGTGCAAAATTGGAGGGATAATGTTAGTGAAGCATGTGGGCTTCCTTGGTATATAATTTGTTTTTAAGCTTGAAGGATACCCTGCTTGAAGTGACTAAAAACACAGGTTGGGTTTATGAACCTAGCATGCCTACCAGTTAAGTAAAAAAAAGGAGGACAGCATTGTTTTAAGTGTAGTTTCAGAACTGGTTCTCACAAAGAGAAAACCCGCTGAATAGGAAAGGGGGATAAAATTTGATTCAGTTTGCATTTAAAGGCCAAACTACCACATCCACGCTTCCTGAAACAATACGAAAACTGAAACACAGCCATCTTTTGCAATTAGTAAGCGCCTGGATTTTGCAACACAGTTTTCCAGCCATATACCAGTGGGGGTGGGACGTACATGGATGCTTTATATTTGGCAAAATTACTTTGCAAAAATGTATGTATTCGGAGAAATCTACACTGAAGTGCTGATGAATTTTCAGGGTGTGTGTGTGTGTGTGTGTGTGTGTATATATATATATATATATATATATATATATATATATATATAACACGGATGTGGAGATGTAGAAAACTGAATTTATATTGGAAAAATAAGAAACTGAGAGTGCTCAGAATTCACAGATTCTCCCACCCCTAAAGTGTATTTTAAAGGGGAATATGGCCTAGTCCCTATACTTAATAGTTCTTTTGTACCTGGGTCTTAGTACCCATCTTCTCAAGATGACTGAGGGGACCAAACGCAATGTCTTGAGGTAACATGCGTGACGTCGCATGGAGCCAGGGGAGCGGGGCCAAACACCTTCTGAACACTGAGGGGGCCCAGACCCCTAAAAACCCAGGGGTGTGAAAGTGCCTCAGCCCCTAAGAGCTGGTGCATGGTACCCCATATGATTTAGCAAAATGTTTTATCAATCAGGATGTTTAGATTGTCATCAATCAGAAGCAGGGCTTTTTCAGTGGTTTCCCCCACAAATGATGGAATTACATCCCCCTATAGGTCAAATTGGCACATTCTGGCCCTCTTCTGCTTTCTCTTGTTGTGTAATGTTAGTTGTAGCTTTCGAAGTAATTGTTGTTTTGACTGATATTACAACTGCTTTGTTATGATTATTGCGAGACACTTTATGAGCCACTAGGGTTGAAAAGTGATTTTTAAAAATCCAAAACCAATAACGAAGATTGTAAGCCTATCTATACCTACTTAGCTGGGAGTAAGACTCATTAGATGTCTGCTCAGGCATGTAAAGGATTGCACTGAAAGAATCAGCACTCAGAAGATCTAGGTTCAACCAAGTCAACAGTCTGGGCCTCTGCTTCTAATATCGCAAATCACAAAGTATTAAGATGCCTGTAAATTTGGGTTAGCATATCCCCTGCAGCTGTGTCATGGATAAACTTGGGTTCCAATAGTTGCGCTTTACAGTATGTGCATGAATTAATTTCCTCTTGACAATGTCTCTACTTGGCGGGGGCAGGGGTGATGTCAGGGTGGGAGAGAGGGAATTACAACAAAGTTCCACTCAGCAAGTGCAAGGATTGAGCAAACGCTTCCTCTTTCACTTTCAGAAATATTAAAGAAAGAGCAGAAAAGCATATCAGGAAGTTTTTGAGCTGAAGGTCTTTGTATTGAGAGGTGGGATCTCAGGGCTTATAACCACGTCCCTGCATAATGTCCATATCCCTATATAATGGGAAAGTATGGGTGGTTACCCTTGCTTCCCGATTAGTGATGAGGAAGATGATTCAATTCAGTTTGCATTGAAAGGCGATCCTGTCATTATCACACTTTCAGAAACTTTCTGAAATGCGAGAACTTAAACGCAGCCTGATCTTTGCACTGGAAGTTGGTTTTGGTAAACCGCTCAGAAGCTTTCTTATAATCAAGTGGCATGTATACGTTTTGTTAAATAAATTTTTTTAAAAAATTGATCCTTTGGCATTTTGGTTGCATTTGTGTCTTATTGGTTTCAAACTTGTGAACTGCTAAGAGGACAAGGTTCAGTATGTGACGGTGATTGCTCTTTGCTTGGAGAAGCTGGTGGATGACTAGTTGCAACCATGATTAAGGTCCAAATTGGCTTCCGCAAAGAACAAAGCTTGGAGAGACAGGGTGAAAGGGATGAAAGATCTGTTCCTAGAGTCAAGCAGCACATACAAACAGCTAACTTGAATATTCGGTCAAAAACTTGGATGGAAATAAGCACTTTAGATAGGTTACGTTGACTCAAGCTAAGGTCACCAGGTGGCAACCCAGAGAATATTTGCCCTATTGCAGAGAGTTTGGGGAGGGCAGACAAGAACATAGGGAGAACAGCAGCCTCACCTTCTGTTTGATCTGCATCTTTAAAGGTGGCTTCACGTTTTCCAATTGCAATGTGGCAGCCCCCACCCCAACTGAATCAGAGCAATGAACAAAGTAGACCATTGCAATAAAATGAAGGCTAGTAATTAGTAAAGATTTGAAGGCAGCGCTCTTGTTTGTTGCACAATGTGTTTCAGAATAAAGGCATCCTTGCCATAACTGTAAGTGGCAGGGAAGGAGGAGTCTGGCAGAATTCCTGCTTCCTCATTCACGCCAGACTATTCTTGGCAAATTTTGAATAGGACGTGTAGCAAAAAGGCACAACTGAAGAGAACTTCTTGTCACTGCAAGCAGGCAGGTTATTTTGTCCACCCGTTTGGTTCCCTCTCCAGCAGTAGGCATTTAAGCAATGTCTTTCAGGAAAACAAAAAAGCAGCATCTGCACCCCTAATCCAACACACCAGCAGATGTTGGGCTTTTTGCTGTCTGTGATAGATCCTCCTCTACAAACCAAAGAACATCTGCTTAAGAGTCTAGTGCTGCCACACTGGGTTAAGTGTAGAATATTGCAAAGCAATGTCAACCATTCTCAGAATGACGACCACAAACAAGCATACGAAGCTAGACTTCCAAGGAAGAATTAATACCATATGCACAGCATGCACAGTTTAAGAAGTTGGATCTTCCTAACAGAGGGTCCATGTTGTGCTTGGCCCTGAAACTCTTCCCTAACTGGCTTGTGGGCGGGGCTTGCCCCGCTCCAAGCCTGTGGTGCCATAGTTATGCCAATGGCCTTTAGCCAATCAGTAGCGTGGCAAGGTTGGGGGTTGGGGGTATCTATTTGGCAGCTCGACGTAGGGACCTCCTTTTGCTTTGCGCTGCCGAACACCCACCCACCCGTTAATTAGGTTGTGTTTGGCCTTGCTTTGGACTTCGGTTGGTTGCCTGTTTTGGAATGGGGGCCAGGTAGGAATTTTCCCCAATGTGGCAGATTGGCTGTGGCCACTTGGTTTTTGCCTACCTCTTAGCAATCGTCACAACTTTGTAAGGTTTGGCGGTTAGGCATTGGTTTAGGGGAATGTGGGGAGGGGAGGTGCGGCCATCACCTGCCCCTCCAATGAATAGGGTATTCCGTTAAAGGAATCTGGGGGTCTGGATCCCGTCCGAAGCCCGGAGAGGGGCTAGGGCCATGCCAGGACCCCCGGGAACCCCAGGGGTGAGCACCAGTCAATATACACTGATGGAGATCCCCCTGCTGGATGTTTACCCTTCCAGGCTTCCTGCAGGGTGGGGCAGGAGTCAGATATAGTTTGATACCAATGCCTAAGCCAATGCCAGTCACATTTGTGTATTTTAATAAAGTTGTGGTCAAAATTTGCCCATTAACATTTAAACTAACTTCTGTCTCCACTGTGTCTTTATTTCCATTCGGGATGGGTTTTGGGGCTTGAAGCACAACTAAATTTCTGGTTAAGGTTGCGATTTTCAGGAAATGTTCCTGGCAGTAGATCCCCCTGGCATGAGGACTAGGCTGTTAGGAGCTATAAATGACAATTGTGTGGTGTAACAAATTATTAGATTTACTTCTGGCATAATCCCTTTCCTGCCTCTCTTGACAATCCCTGCTTCAGCCATAAACTCAGTGCACGATCTTGGACTATAGTCACTGACTGAGTTTGGACATCGTGATAAACAATGGTTGTTGTTGTTTTCTTATCTTGAAACAAGACAGCTTCAAACCATCGTTTATGAAGCTGGGTTTAAATTAACCACAGTATAGGGTTTGGAAGTGGTCGCACACAAAACAGCTGTACTTGGTCAATCTGTCTGTCTCTTAAAATAAAAGCTGTAATACAGTACATGTTTCTTACAACTGATAACTTACCACTTTTACTGAACTGCAGCTTATACCTCCACTTTTAAAACCAACACGCAGGTGAGAGTTCTATCAACATTTTATGCTGTAAAATTTGGAAGACTTACTGGAATTTCAAACAGCAAAAAGGGTGAGGAATTGGGCTTCGGCAAAGATTCCCCACATCTGGAAACTGTATTTACACAGAGGCCTTTCTCTCGCAGAGACCAATGACTGAATATGGTTCTACAAGTTTAGAAAATTACTAGATATTTCACAGGCACGCCCTACATTCCAAAATCCATTTCATTTGCGGGCAACTCTTTTCCGTGCTTCCTTACCATCTTCCATAACAACAAATCTTGAGTCATATGTTAAACACCAGTTCCATTTTACACAGCTAAAATGTGATAGCTTATAGTCTCGTAGCACGTCTGACTTGGAGATTTGGAAATAAAACAGGGAATGGAGGATCAACACACATTGATACACAAAGCCTTCAACAAAATCTTGAAAAAAAGAGGGAGATTCTTGGACCTTTGTCTAAGAGGCAATGCCACATGTTTTTTGGTGTGTTCAATGGGAAAGCACACATTTTTTATCTCTTCCAATCTCTGGGAAATGTTTGTGACATTCGCCTTTACTTATGCTTCCCACTTGAGATCAACAGGACAATTACTGCTGAGTAAATGTGCTGAGGACAGCGGCCTTAGAGAGTGAAGAAATAACTTGGATAGCATACGATGATTGGAATTTTTTCCTGGTAGACTTGCATAACAGGAGTTGTACCGGATCAGATAATCTTACTACAGAAAGTTCCCCCAGGTGCTGACCAGATTCTCTCAAGAAGCCCTTACAAGTTTTCCCATTGTATGCACCCATCCTCTGATTTTAAGAATTATACTGCCTCTGCTTTTGTACATAATAGTCATGGACAGACTTGTCTTCTGTGAAATAATTTAACCTGTTTTAAAATCAATCTGGTGTGGTGGCCATCACCAAAAGTTAATTATACAGTGGTACCTCAGGTTAAGTACTTAATTAGTTCTGGAGGTCCATTCTTAACCTGAAACTGTTCTTAACCTGAAGCACCACTTTAGCTAATGGGGCCTCCTGCTGCTGCCGTGCCGCCGGAGCATGATTTCTGTTCTCATCCTGAAGCAAAGTTCTTAACCTGAAGCACTATTTCTGGGTTAGCGGAGTCTGTAACCTGAAGCATATGTAACCTGAGGTACCACTGTACACTGAATGATACAGTACCCCATTTGTCCTTTCTGAATCTACTTCCAATCCACTTCATTGGGTGACCCTGAGTTCTAGTACTAGGAGAAAGGGAGAAAAATATATCTGTC